TCTTTTAGGAAGAAAAAACAAGCCAGTGGTAAAATGAATAATGTCATTGGTAGATATCCAATAGCATTAAACAACTGACTTCCTTCATTGGACTTTGACCTAGCTGACCTGTTTGACATCCGACTAGTTGTTGAATTGTTTGGTTTGTTGTAACTTGATCTCTCTGCAGATCAAATTCTCTGTCGGAGCTAAAGTAGACTTCATAGACTTACAGCGCATGCTTGATCTCCATATATTGGCAAAGAAAACACTTGTCTATTATCCCTCATGAAATGCCTAATGCATAATGCTAATATTGAATATACATACTGAGTAATTAGACCAGTATACATTAAACAGTTGCCTCCCAGCAACACTTTTTATGACCTAGTTTGTTTCAAGCAAACTGAACTCTGTACTTATGCATTTTCACCTTACGATGGGGAATTCAAAATAGTATTTAGCACAGTTCTCAGTGTAATCTGTGTCAAACAGATAAGACTTCCAAACAGACTAACTCCCCTTAGTTGTTCTGAAGTGAAAAGGACCAAGTTTGACAGGTGAAATTGAATGTATTTGACAGCAAAGATGTCTACTAAAAGCAAACTAGTATCTTCAAAGGTATGAGGAAGAAGGAATAAGTAAGTGGAAAGTCCTTGAGAGTTGGTGCATCCTGCAGATTTCAGCCAACCTTTTTGCTAATGGAGTTGCAGAACCATCCCCTGTAAAGAGGAGAGGGACGCTCAAATGAGGCAGCGGAATGACAGGCAATAGACTGGAAAATATGAGACAGGGAGAGGGGGATGGACTCAAGCTGATGTGTTTATTTGCCACTGCGGGTTCCCAGCAGAAATCGTTGTGGGCGAATGCATTTGAAGTCCCCAATGCATGAAAAGAAGTTGACACAGCCTGTGTCCTACCATAAAAATCTTTAGAAATCATTCACGCCCTCAGATTTTGTGACTGTTGATCCTGCTTGGTTTCAGAAGTTCAAAGAGGGATTTAGGGCAATGTTACAATCTTGATGAGTTCATGAGTAAAATCAATTTTCTTCAGGTTGAGCTTTGTCATTGAGACAACTTTGTGCTACTGTGAAGTCAATGGAGTGATTTTGACAAGTGAGTGGATTCTAGAAGTGCAATTGAGCTAGGTAATAACATAAGGCTTGTGCGAAGAAAAGCATCACAAGTGAAGTTCCTTTAAAAGTGTCTCACAAGTTGTAGTTTGTCACCTTAGTTTCTCAGGTACCTGGTCTAGAAAAGCAAATCACAGCCACTAGGGATGAAGTGTACGAAACAACTAACCAGCTATTGCTATTCCTGACAGCTTGACGTGCTTGTTGTGTTGGAATTACACAATCAAGTCTTCGTTCAGCAGTGAAACACACAAGTTCATCTGGTAGCAAAATGCAACGTTATTATCTTTTCACTACGCTTTTCAAAGAACGAAAGGATGCTTGGTGACGTTCTTGGCTGACCCCACTTAAACTGTTATTCTGTAAGAGAAAAGACACGTGTAAAACATAAAAGCTACCACTGAGGCAGCTTCTTAAAAAAGATACAAGACATCGATAATGTAGAGCATATTTGAAAGCTTGCCAAGATGATTAATTACATTACAACTAACTGCTGAGTCACGTGTCAATCAATTATGAATGGAAACATGTAGCGTTCCTTGTTAACCTTTCAGATTGTGCTAAGAGACAAAGCTGAAAAAGCAAAGTAACACATGCAATACAGCAGTTCTATGTTTGTTGATATAGCTTGGCTAGAAAGGCTGAGTCATTGCTTCCGTTGTGCTGCCTTTTGATGCATGTCATCACGGCCGCCCCTCCCTACAGGCCAATCACGCAGACTGCGTGGGGCCTCACCTCGCGGAGGGGGCCTCAGCTTGTGGAGGGTACTTTATTTTGTGGAGGGAGCCTCATCTGAAGCGCAAATGCGGCGCGCCACAGTTTCGCCCCTGCAAGGCTCCACTAGCACCCCCCCCGTCGACGCTCGCGACACAGAGGGCCTCATCATATAACTTTGCGTGGGGCCACAAGTTGGCCAGGGGTGGCCCTGCATGTCATCCCCCTCTCACTCTCCAATATATTTCTCCTGTTTCTATATTAAAGACAGGAAGAAATGTACATGAAGCAATAGTGGGTTGAAAGTCAAGATTATAATATAAGTTTAAGGTTAAAAAAGGCTAATGCTAAACTGAAGGTTCAAAAAGTGGAGCTAATAGTAGTTTAAGGGTTACATTTTAATGTATTATCATGTGTATTAAATCATACAATTAAATGATTGTGCTCAGTGACACTCTCCTTTACAAAAGTGACACACATCCCCAGTCAACAATGAAGACAATATATACAACATGAGGCTAATGCTAAGTGAGGCTAAGGCTTAGCACAAGTTTGAAGTGAAAAAGTCAAGCTTATTTATGGTTATGGTTTATGGTTAAATAATTAAGCATTATACTAAATGGTTGAGAAGCTAAGGTTACGATTGAAGTTGAGTAATCACCTTACAAGTGGGATAATCACTAAAGTGTAGGTTCAAAGGTTATCAACGCTTTGTCTCGAGGCATATTGTCGATAAGACTTCTTAATGTTTATTTTATCTTACTGCCAATTCCTATCATGGATGAAAGTGCATTCATTAAATAAACGTATATACCACTTTCAACACACGTGGTGAATGATTTGCCTATGTTTAATGCAAGGTAGTAGCTATGTAACGTTTTGACTGTATCTTTCTTCTTTTTGTGGGGGGAGTAATCTGCACAGGAAGACACAAAAGAGAAGATGATGGAGGAACCATAACAAAAAATATATATGGTTTCAAATATCTCAGCACTTACACTGTGAAGCTGCTATTTTTAGCCAAGACGTTACTGTTCCCTTGTTGACCGAAGAATATGGTGTTGTCCGGCTCACTGTATGTTTGTTCTGTTGGACGATGATACATTATAGCGACTATAGAGGGGCACTTGAAGAAAATGACTTCAAAGGAGCGAGAGAGATAGCAGCTGCCCAATCAGATCTCACTTTAGCAGGATAATAGCATTCAGATCCCTCAAGGCAGAAAAGAGGATGTGTCATAAATTATAAATTTCCTTGAGAAAAGATATGGATGGCGGTGTCATGCAATAATTGGCACAGCACTTAGCTCCAAGTAAAGCTGGCCGGTGGCTGAGTGATGTACGCTGCAGGCACCCACCCCGAAAACACGCCGAAGCGATTTGCAATGTCAGCGTGACACAAAGAGGCGCCCCCAATTATCATGTCGACCCAATATGGTTTGGCAACCTCATTTCATGACCTGTACGGCAGCATGCTGGGGAGTAACCGAGATTTCAAGGCGAGAGGAGCTTCCTGAGATGATTGAATGTGCTCCTGGTAATATTCTAATGTCAAAACACACCTGTAATATTAAACTAAAACTGGTGTTACACTGAAATGTACAGCGTTAACCCTTTTCAGACACACACATGATGAATTAAAATGAGAGGGAAAGAAAGAATGCTCAGCCAGCCACGATGATTCAGATACAAACGCTCCGATTTACTGGCAGGATCAAAGGTTTTTGACGAAAAAAGGCCTTTGTACTTTCAAAATGTAATGCCTGTACCCAATCCTGACAAGCCGCAATGTTGCTTAGCTTTTAGGATCATTCTGTTTTCATTATTTCTTTTTCAAATACTCTTTTTTAAGGGACAGTTACCGAAGTACAACAAGCATTCTGGTGTTTGAACCAGTAGGTTTATATGTTGATACAGAATTATTTTCAATCTCAAACCAGTTGATCAAAACCATCACTCTTAAAAGACTGAAAATCCCTTACAGACATAATGTACTTTACCAAGTGGAGAAGCCTACGAAAAAATTATGCTATTTCTCACTTGATGAAGTACTACAGTAATCATTTTCTTAACGAGTTTACGGTCCCATTGGCTTGCTTAAAGACCTTTTCAGTACAGCATGATAGACGCTGAACAAGGGTTTCCTTAGGGCATGGATTGACATGTTGATACTAGTTTGGGTGTCACCTGTCTTTTTGTTTCAGCTTATGGAATGGTATCATTGTGGTACTTAAAAATGTTCAGTGTTTGATTTTACTTATGTCCTACATCAATTCTGGCAAGTCAGAAAACAGAAAGTTGGCGGAAAAGGTCAAAATGCCAAACTCAACGCTTTATAATGATAGTCTACAAAACAATTGGTGACATCCCAGTCACTTCTTCTATATGATCAATACTAAATACTGATATTATCATACAATCCACTATTAATGTCTTTATATATCAAGAAAATCAAAACAAAAATAAGTTTCAAATTCATTCATTTCAAGATATACACTTTTTTGCTTTTCCAGCTGAGGGTTAAATTAATAGATTAATAACATCCTGTGCATTAATAATGAAGCTGGAAGGGATTTAGCTTAGCTTCTAAAGACTGTATACAGGGGGGGGGAAAGCCAGTCTGGTTCAATCAAAATAATAATACACACTTAGCAGCACCTCTGAAGCGCATAACCATTTGTTTCTAGTTTGTTAAATGTGTACACAAATAGGAACGAAACAGCATGTAATGGCCATTAAAACCCCAGCTTGCTGTTTTACATTTATGTGTGTTAAAATAACTATTGCATTAGATGCAAGCGCTTGCATCCTACCTAATTTAGAAACCCAATTTATAAAAGCTCTTCCAAGCCTTGCTGAATTAAAATCCCTCCTGCATGGCTTTTATAGCCTCAGGCTTTTTATTTTTCAAGAAAGCCACAGCCACAAATTTGCAGTCGCAATTCTCACTGAAATGTGTAGAAACCAGCACTTTGACGACTTTCTCTTTGTTATGCGTCTAACAATTCCTTCGAAATAATGCCACCCTTAGGGAATGGATGTAACTCCAGACCTCAGTCAGGGTTTGGGCGAGACCCAGTGTTCTGTTTTCTCTGACATGAAAGAAATACAGACCACACATATGTATAAGATCGCTGCCATTTCTCATGCCTCTTCTCATTGTTTTCCTGTAGGTGAAAAAGTGAACAGATGAGGTGGAGGACTTCTTCCTCAGCACACACAGAGACGTCACCTTGCAGCGTTCATCCGTGGGAGGAGAGGAAATACTTGGGACTGTTTGTTGCCCTCAGGAGGAATTCAAGGTCAGTGCAGCACTCTCAAACACACACACACACACACACACACACACACACACACACACACACACACACACACACACACACACACACACACACACACACACACACACACACACACACACACAGGTTTAAGACAAATAATAGGAACAAGGGAGCATCTTCTCTCCTATTGGCTCTGTATACTAAGATGAGTCAAGTGAGTTGATACGATGTTTTGCATGAGCTGCATTGCTTTCATGAACAAATAATTAACGGTAAATGAAGATTCTGTTCAATATCTAACAGATATTGTTCGATGAAAGAAAAGAGACAATTCCCAAATGTCCTTTTGCTCCATCTGGCCTTTTTCTCTATTTCTCCCTCAATTGAACTGTTCCTTTCCTAATAATATGTTTCCTTTTCTTGCGTTGCTTCCTTCCTCCCATGTCCCCTCTTTAATCAACGCCTCCAAACAAATGTTGAGCCGTCCAAGGTTTTTTTTTCTTTTCTTTTTTTCTGTGAAGTCCTCACACTGGGATGAGTTTGGATTTTAATTTGTTCCCCACAGATTGCTGCCTCACTGAGAAACTGGGTTAATTGCATGAGAAGACAGAGCCACTTGTGACCTTCATTGAATCCTGCCAACTACAGTTACTGCAGCATGTCTACTGCAGTGTTGCATTTACAGGTTATTTAGCCACTTCTATGACAACAAAAAAGGTGATGGCTTGGGTGTCAGGAAGGCTTTTTTATGAATGTTGACATGTGTTTCGAAACGATTTTAAAGTGTCAGTCCTGCAAAGTTCTCCTGACAGATTGATGTGTCCTGTGTCAGTTGGCATATGGAGATGTTTTGTGTTGATCAGGCAGGTTGATTGGGCTGATTGAAAGCAAAGAGGGAATGGAAAGTAAACTTAAGATGTCAAAGATGATCAGTCCATCAATACTTGCTTATTTCAGTCATTACTTAAAGAAAGTTGGTCAGCTGTTCTCTCTCATACATATTCAGTTAGTGAATGAGGGACGGCTCTTGACGGAATCAATCAGACCGTGAACTCTCTCCAGCCTTCCTTCTTTCTATCCTCCAATCCTTCCTTCATTAATTACTTTTTTACCAATCTGTGTCATGTGTTCCTTAAGTCCTTCTTTTTGCCTGTACCTTCCTTCCTTTATCTTGTCTCCTGCTCATGTCTTCTTTCCTTCTTCCTCCTTCCTTTTACCTTCTCTCTTTGTCATGTCTTTTGTTCATTCTTCCTTCCTTCCTGCTTTCCTTCCTTTCTTATAATGTTTTGAACGTTATTCCCGTCTTTTAACTTTTTTTTCCATCCTCCCATTTGTTCTTACTTTCCACCTCTTTGTTTCCTTCCTTTTTTTCTTTCCTCTCTTCCTCATGTTCTTTGTCCGTTATTGTCCCAGTTTGTTTACATTGCTTCTTTCTTCTTTTCCCATCTCTTCCTCATGTTTTTTTCAACCTTCCTTCAATATTTCCTTTCTTCCTCTTTTCTTTCCACCTGTCCTTGATTTTCTTAATTTCTTCCTTCTTTTTTTCCTCTGTCTCTTCCTTTTCTTTTCTTCTCTTTCTACTGTCTTTTCATCATGTATTTAGTCTCTTAAGTCAGGGGTTCCCAAACGTTGCCATGCCAAGGACCCCCATATAGCATTATCCTCTGGCGGGGACCCCCCTGTTGCAATGTTTTTATTTAAATGATGTGTACAAGTGCCTCGCGATGGAGCATGCAGTGTGTTGCCACTACATTTGGGGCCTTCTGCCTGATAAAAGCTGTTACTCCGCTTTTTTGCCTGTCATAGCCCCACTGCCCCATCTGAACACACACCCACACAACGAGACCAGTCAAGTCCATTTGAGATGATGTACTCATCTAAAACTTGGAAAATGTCTCTTCGTGTGGTCCTACCTTCCAGTGCTTTGCAAAATAATATTTCCTCAACAAAGTTGTCTTCTGAAATAAATCTGATGTATGCAAGCAATTCTGCGACATTTGCTACATCTGTGCTCTCATCCAGCTGCAGAGCGAAATATTCACTAGCTCTCACTTGCTCCAAAAGCTGAGCAGATACTCAGTTTCACTCTCAGTAGCGGCAGCTCGATTCTGATTGGCTTGAAGGGCGGTCGTGTGATTCAAAAACAAAAATATTAAAAGATTGGCATCAAAGGACACATAGATTAATAGATATACAGTTATTAATAACATCTTTAAAAAAAAAAAGATTAAACTTTTTTAAAAAAAACACTGTCTTAAGTAATGTATTCCCGCTCCTTCATCCCGTCGGTATTACTGTCATCTTTGTTCCTTTTTCCATGTGTCCCATTTTTTCTCCACCGTTATTTATTCGTTTTCTCCTTCCTTCCCTTCTTCCACTTTTACTTCCATATTCCTTCCCTCACCCCTTCCTCCTGTCTGTCCTCTGTTCCTTACCTATTCCCTCATCTCTGTCTGTCGCACCATGGATTTCCTGGTGAATATGAGGAGCTCACACAGAGCCAATGATAGCTGGAGATGAGGTTAGGACTGACATTCCCCTTAGGACTGGTGCCTGGCACAGAGCCCTTGTAGAATATTCCGCCAAATTACGTGAGAAGCTGCAGATAATAATACCTGTTTTATAGGTTGACAAACCCAGGGAACTGTGAAGGACGAGCAGGGTGAGGTGAAAACACACACGGGCTGTAAAGTGTGTTTCATTGGCAGGGAGGCCTGGTGTTCAGATATATGAGAAGTGGGTTGATATTGGACTGAAAGAGCATTTGACACACTATGATTATCCCAAATAGTCCTAATTATTTTTCAGATATCATTACATTACATGTGACTTTTTAGACGCTTTTATCCAAAGCGACTTACATACTCGAAACTGTGGGCAATCCCCACAGGAGCAATTTGGGGTGAAGTGTCTTGCCCAGGGACACAACGACATGCTGACTGCAGTGGGGTTTGAACCTGTGACCCACTGATCCCAACACCAAGGCTCTTCTTGCTAATGGACTGCCACAAGGTATGTTTATGGTGAATAGAGTAAATATGAAGCCTATAGACTGGCAAGCATTTGCCATTTATCTGTCGATTACCTTTGTTTTCACTTTAATTGATTCCCTTTAGATTGATGATTTAACAATATTCACTGTATTGACACAAAATATGCTTGATGGTAAAGCTTCTGCTAATGAACAAAGTCATGCAAAAATATTGAGGCTGCTAAAATGAACATTCAGAGTTTGACATTCAGACCAATGAATGTTTTATTTTGACCTTCAGATCCATCAGCTGATCAACATAAAAACCCCCCCAAAAAAATGGGACTTGCATTGTTTCATTTACAGTAGGTCTTTGTGTCTGCATTATAAGTGACACATTTAGCAAAAACAATGTTATCCTGCAATTAAATAAGACTATATTCATTACCTATTTGTATTATTAGGTGGTAGTATATTTTTTTTAAACAGAAGACATGCTTGAAAAACATGCTTTTAATGACCTTCAGTAACAATAGTCAATGAGTCTTATCATATCTATTAGGAATGCAAATGAGGAGTTTATGCAGGAAAGGTAACTTTAGGTATATTTTAACCTTGACTTTTCATTCTATGTCTTCAGTGTCTTACTGAACCAACTACAATGTAATCCTATCAGGGCAGTCATGCACTGTAAATGCATGTGTGAGTAGGAGAAGAAAGGTGAAATGTGAATGTCCCCCAACAGTCTAAACCTATAGAAGCATAGGGGCTTGTCCAAAGTAAACCTGAGCCTGCCCTAACTTTGAGCTTTATCGAAAAGGAAAGTCTTAACCCTACTTTTAATTGTGGAGATGGTGTCTGCCTTCCCGAAACACAAACTGGAAGCTGGTTCCACAGAAGAGGAGCTTGATAGATGAATGCTCTGGCCACCATTACACGTTTGAAGACTCTAGGGAACCATTAATAACTCTTGGAAGGTAATAGTGGGGAAGTTGTGTACAAAAGAGGATGTTACCTGGCCAGGGAGCAAGTGCAGAGCAGCTTATACAGGAGTAAAATGATCATATTTTGTACAGTGTTGAGAGACGTGTTGGTACAGCCTGATAATCAGGAATTACAATAGTCCATGCCTTGAAGTAACAAATGCATGGACTTCAATCAATCAATCAATGTTTATTTATATAGCCCAATATCACAAATGTTACATTTGTCTCAGTGGACTTCACAGTTTGTACAGAATATCAGTATGACAATACAACACCCTCTGTCCTTAGACCCTCATATCGTAGGAAACACTTCCAGAGAAAACCCACAGTTTAAAGGGGAACATGGGAGAAACCTCAGGGAGAGCAACAGAGGAGGGATCCCTCTCCCAGGACGGACAGACGTGCACTAGATGCCGTGTGTAAATCGAAGAGATAATTTTACAGCGTAGGTAGACCAAATGTTTGGAAATGCATGTGTCTGTAATAAGAAGATGAATCCACGAGGATGTCAACACTCCTGTGGGAGCCATCAGGGAAGTAGTATGACTTGTATTATTGCATAATTTTGAGTCAAGATATGCTGGATGTTCGCAATGTAATTACTGCATCATTTGTAAATGATCAGTGAATATTAGTGATAACAGATAGTAATGTATTATCCAAAGGAAAATATCCTGCTGTGTCTTTCCAAAATCAGGCCTCTTGCCTGGAGGAGGACAATGATCAGTCTATCACTTCAAACACACACTAATTGATTTGCCAAATAGAGATCTTCCTTTAGTGCACCCCCACACACTCAATCCTCCATCATATGCATTTTAGTAATAGCCAATGGAATATGGATATGATCCTAATAGGTCTCTCCTCAATATATTGAGTAAGTCTAACTCCGGAGTGATTGTATTACATTCTAATGAGCTCTGTTGTTTTGACTTTCACAATTCAATTTCCTCTCTGATTCTCCACTTTTGAAATCATGATTAATGTGTAGAACACAACTCTGCCATAGAATGCATTTGGACATCTGTTGTTTTTGAATGACAAGCCACCATTTGTACAAGTTT